TCTTCACTCGTCTATAACTTTTCAATCGACTCCTCCTGTAGCAAACCTAAAGAGGAACCTGGGTGTGACATCAACGTAGGCCACAAAGAAGAGAGCTGTGCTACAATCATCATCATCATCATCATCATTTATATGGCTGTCCTGTTCCTTTCTTCTTGTAGGCAAAGTTGTTTTTCTTTCCCTTAGCCGCTGTAGCCCAAGAACAAACAACAACCAGTAGATGAAATCTGGAATGTTTTATTTGTGTGAAATATTGCTGGCTACTGATAATATTGCCAATGTGTGGTAGATAACGATAACTATAATGAGACCAAAGAGCACGATAGTAATGCTAGCAGTAAATGTAACTCGATTACTAATTTCTTATCAAAGTCTATTAGCCTTCTCGTTCATTTCTCTTACCTCTCGTTATCTATTTCTCTCTCTCTCTCTCTCTCTCTCTCTCTCTCTCTCTCTCTCTCTCTCTCCCTCTCCCTCTCTCTCTCTCTCTCGTAAGCGCGCTTTCTCTTTCACACACACACACACACACATATATATATATATACACACACACACATTCATGCATGTACTGACACACACACACACACACCAAACAGACTGTGGTCAGGGGATATTATCTATCATTGGGACCAGCTTCATGCATGGTTGTCTCTCTTGTAGTCTGCAAGTGTTGATTGTGGATGAAGACTTTAGTGGAAGCGTTATACTACTAAGAGAGGTATCTCTCCGGTGCGTGAACATATTGGTTACACCCTGGTGTCTTCTTCTTCTTTTCCCTACTCCTGAAATGTTTGCATTGTCAGGGCAGGAACGATCTCGGAACAGGCCCTTTTTGTTCGCATCTCATAAAGTACTTGTAAGTGTCTCCGTTATTTTCGCGGTCCATGGTCTGCGTGGTCGACCTCTAGCGTCAATGGCAGCGTCTTAAACATTTCGAATCAGACTTATTAATCTACAATGACATCACACGCACCAGTGACTTCTTTGCAGTGCGGTGGCAAACGTAACCTTGTCTGATAAGAGCTAAAGAATTTCCCTGTGAAAATTGTGCGCGCTGTAAATTGTGGTTGGCGTTTAGGCCTATGTCTTGAAAATTGGGTAATGTTTTTTGGGAGGAAATCTCTTTCTTGTTTATTTCTTTTATAGTTGGGAAATTAAAACACGATACTGATGTCACAGGACCAACCGATTTAAGTGCGATTACTGCCTTTAGAGCTAAATTAGTTACAAGGAAGAACGATAGCTAATTAAATATGAGGTATGAAAATTAATTAGCTAGTCGAGACAATCTTCTCACTACAGATCAAACAACTCAGTCTGTAAGTGTTCGATTCCCTCCTCATTTACCCACCCCTCCCCCCTTTTTTTTCTAGCGTGCAGCCAGCCACTAGCGGAACCTGTTCTGTGTTTGTTTACACCTTTTGTGTGTGTGTACTCCTGACACGCCCTGTTTTATACCTTCACACCTGTTGACGTTTGCTGTAGCCTCTGTTCGAGATTGTCCTTCCAAATATTCATTACATGATCCATTATATAATCCACTTGCCTCTCTCAGACCATTCATTATATCCTCTGATTCACTGCACCTCCCTTTTCCAGAGCAGCTCTGCCAGCAAACATATCAGCTTGCTGATTTTCTCCAGACACACCCGCATGCTCGGTGACCTCTTTAGAGATTATAACAACTGTATCGAGCCCAGATCATTTCCAGCTTCTCGTACCTACTCACTGTCACCGAGAGCACATACAGACTATGAAGATAGACGTGTGAAATCGATTAAACATACAACATCCATAAATATGGCTGTTTTTTATATGATACAACATTACCTGGACATACGAGAGAGAACATGATACCACCTCGGTAGGGTACAACATGTCTAGAATATAAGTGAAAGAACACGTCAACATCTGGAGTACAACATATCTAGAACACAGGTGAGACAACACATCAACATGTGGGGTACAACATATCTAGAACACAGGTGAGACAACATGTCAACATCTGGGGTACAACATATCTAGAACACAGGTGAGACAACACGTCAACATCTGGGGTACAACATATCTAGAACATAGGTGAGACAACACGTCAACATCTGGGGTACAACATATCTAGAGCATAGGTGAGACAACACGTCAACATCTGGGGTACAACGTGTCTAGAGCATAGGTGAGACAACACGTCAACATATTGGGTAAACCAAATCTAGAACATAGGTGAGAGAACACGTCAACATCTGGGGTACAACATATCTAGAACATAGGTGAGACAACACGTCAACATCTGGGGTACAACATAACATACATGGACACATGGGAACTTAATGACGTGGGACAACTTGTGGAGAACTTGTAGCGCGTGCACACTCGGGTTCCCATGTTGAACTCAAAACCGGTGCAGGCTTGGTTCTTGGAACAGTTTCTGGCACAACTCAGCCTCGACCTGGCGATGTATGGCGTCATGCGACACCGGTTGGTGGCCGGAACTATCGTGTACCTGTAGTTGATGGCTTTCAGCATATCTGAGACAAAACAATCACAAAGTTAAAACACATATCTATAGGATAACAATCATATAGTTAGCACACACGTCTGTGAGAAAACAATCATACAGTTACCACACATGTCTGTGAGAAAACAATCATACAGTTAGCACACATGTCTGTGAGAAAACAATCATATAGTTAGCACACATGTCTGTGAGAAAACAATCATATAGTTACCACACATGTCTGTGAGAAAACAATCATATAGTTACCACACATGTCTGTGAGAAAACAATCATATAGTTACCACACATGTCTGTGAGAAAACAATCATATAGTTACCACACATGTCTGTGAGAAAACAATCATACAGTTAGCACACATGTCTGTGAGAAAACAATCATACAGTTAGCACACATGTCTGTGAGAAAACAATCATATAGTTACCACACATATCTGTGAGAAAACAATCATATAGTTAGCACACATGTCTGTGAGAAAACAATCATACAGTTAGCACACATATCTGTGAGAAAACAATCATATAGTTAGCACACATGTCTGTGAGAAAACAATCATACAGTTAGCACACATGTCTGTGAGAAAACAATCATACAGTTAGCAAACATGTCTGTGAGAAAACAATCATACAGTTAGCACACATGTCTGTGAGAAAACAATCATATAGTTAGCACACATGTCTGTGAGAAAACAATCATACAGTTAGCACACATGTCTGTGAGAAAACAATCATATAGTTACAACAAATGTATGTGAGAAAACAATCATACAGTTAGCACACATGTCTGTGAGAAAACAATCATATAGTTACAACAAATGTATGTGAGAAAACAATCATACAGTTACCACACATGTCTGTGAGAAAACAATCATATAGTTACCACACATGTCTGTGAGAAAACAATCAAATAGTTAGCACACATGTCTGTGAGAAAACAATCATATAGTTACAACGAATTTATGTGAGAGAACAATCATATAATTACCGCACACGTCTGTGAGAAAACAATCATATAGTTAGAACACACGTCTGTGAAAAAACAATCTTACAGTTACCACACATGTCTGTGAGAAAACTGTCATACAGTTACCACACATGTATGTGAGAAAACTATCACACAGTTAGCACACATGTCTGTGAGAAAACAATCATACAGTTACCACACATGTCTGTGAGAAAACAATCATACAGTTACCACACATGCCTGTGAGAAAACAATCATATAGTTAGCACACATGCCTGTGAGAAAACAATCATATAGTTACCACACATGTCTGTGAGAAAACAATCATATAGTTACCACACATGTCTGTGAGAAAACAATCATACAGTTACCACACATGCCTGTGAGAAAACAATCATACAGTTACCACACATGTCTGTGAGAAAACAATCATACAGTTAGCACACATATCTGTGAGAAAACAATCATATAGTTAGCACACATGTCTGTGAGAAAACAATCATACAGTTAGCACACATGTCTGTGAGAAAACAATCATACAGTTACCACACATGCCTGTGAGAAAACAATCATATAGTTAGCACACATGTCTGTGAGAAAAAATCATATAGTTAGCACACATGTCTGTGAGAAAACAATCATATAGTTACCACACATGTCTGTGAGAAAACAATCATACAGTTACCACACATGTCTGTGAGAAAACAATCATACAGTTACCACACATGCCTGTGAGAAAACAATCATATAGTTAGCACACATGCCTGTGAGAAAACAATCATATAGTTACCACACATGTCTGTGAGAAAACAATCATACAGTTACCACACATGCCTGTGAGAAAACAATCATACAGTTACCACACATGTCTGTGAGAAAAAGATCATATAGTTAGCACACATGTCTGTGAGAAAACAATCATACAGTTAGCACACATGTCTGTGAGAAAACAATCATACAGTTACCACACATGCCTGTGAGAAAACAATCATACAGTTAGCACACATGTCTGTGAGAAAACAATCATACAGTTAGCACACATGTCTGTGAGAAAACAATCATACAGTTAGCATACATGTCTGTGAGAAAACAATCATACAGTTAGCACACATGACTGTGAGAAAACAATCATACAGTTAGCACACATGCCTGTGAGAAAACAATCATACAGTTAGCACACATGCCTGTGAGAAAACAATCATACAGTTAGCACACATGTCTGTGAGAAAACAATCATACAGTTAGCACACATGTCTGTGAGAAAACAATCATACAGTTAGCACACATGTCTGTGAGAAAACAATCATATAGCAACACTTTCCGCATTAAGAAAGATTAGGCTATGTAAGATTTTTACATCTTCCACACTGCCTATTGACGTCTGCACACACTACACGTTGTTGTCTATACACACTGTTGTATGCACACTACACACTGCTGTATGCACACTACACACGATTGTCTGCACACTACACACTGCTGTCTACACACTACAAACTGTTGTCTGCACACTACACTTTGCTGTCTGCACACTACACACGATTGTCTGCACACTAAACACTGCTGTCTACACACTACACACTGCTGTCTACACACTACACACTGCTGTCTACACACTCCACACTGCTGTCTGCACACTAAACACTGCTGTCTACACACTACAAACTGCTGTCTGCACACTACACACTGCTGTCTCCACACTACACACGATTGTCTGCACACTACACATTGCTGTCTGCACACTACACACTGCTGTCTACACACTACTGTCTGCACACTACACACTGCTGTCTGCACACTACACACTGCTGTCTGCACACTACACACTGCTGTCTGCACACTACACACTGCTGTCTGCACACTACACACTATTGTCTGCACACTACACTGCTGTCTACACATGACACACTGCTGTCTGCACACTACACACTGCTGTCTGCACACTACACACTGCTGTCTGCACACTACACACTGCTATCTGCACACTACACACTGCTGTCTGCACACTACACACTGATGTCTACACACTACACACTGTTGTCTACACACTACACACTGCTGTCTGCACACTACACACTGCTGTCTACACACTACACACTGCTGTCTGCACACTACACACTGCTGTCTGCACACTACACACTGCTGTCTGCACACTACACACTGTTGTCTGCACACTACACACTGCTGTCTGCACACTACACACTGCTGTCTACACACTACACACTGTTGTCTACACACTACACACTGCTGTCTGCACACTACACACTGCTGTCTACACACTACACACTGCTGTCTGCACACTACACACTGCTTTCTGCACAATACACACTGCTGTCTGCACACTACACACTGCTATCTGCACACTACACACTGCTGTCTGCACACTACACACTGTTGTCTGCACACTACACACTGCTGTCTACACACTACCCACTGCTGTCTACACACTACACACTGTTGTCTACACACTGCTGTCTGCACAATACACACGATTGTCTGCACATTACACACTGCTGTTTGCAAACTACACACTGCTGTCTGCACACTACACACTGCTGTCTGTATACTAAACACTGCTGTTTGCACACTACACACTGCTGTTTGCACACTACATAGCGCTGTCTACACACTACATACTGTTGTCTGCACACTACACACTGCTGTCTGTATACTAAACACTGCTGTTTGCACACTACACACTGCTGTCTGCACACTACACACTGCTGTCTGTATACTAAACACTGCTGTTTGCACACTACACACTGCTGTTTGCACACTACATAGCGCTGTCTACACACTACATACTGTTGTCTGCACACTACACACTGCTGTCTGTATACTAAACACTGCTGTTTGCACACTACACACTGCTGTCTGCACACTACACACTGCTGTCTGTATACTAAACACTGCTGTTTGCACACTACACACTGCTGTCTACACACTACACACTGCTGTCTACACACTACATACTGCTGTCTGCACACTACACACTGCTGTCTACACACTACATACTGCTGTCTACACACTACACACTGCTGTCTGCACACGACACACTGCTGTCTACACACTACATACTGCTGTCTACACACTACACACTGCTGTCTGCACACTACACACTGCTGTCTACACACTACAAACTGCTGTCTACACACCCCATACTGCTGTCTACACACTACATACTGCTGTCTACACACTACAAACTGCTGTCTACACACTACATACTGCTGTCTACACACTACAAACTGCTGTCTACACACCACACTCTGCTGTCTACACACTACATACTGCTGTCTACACACTACATACTGCTGTCTACACACCACACACTGCTGTCTACACACTACAAACTGCTGTCTACACACCACATACTGCTGTCTACACACTACATACTGCTGTCTACACACTACAAACTGCTGTCTACACACTACATACTACTGTCTACACACTACAAACTGCTGTCTACACACCACACACTGCTGTCTACACACTACATACTGCTGTCTACACACTGCATACTGCTGTCTACACACCACACACTGCTGTCTACACACTACAAACTGCTGTCTACACACTACATACTGCTGTCTACACACTACACACTGCTGTCTGCACACTACATACTGCTGTCTACACACTACAAACTGCTGTCTAGAAACCACATACTGCTGTCTACACACTACACACTGCTGTCTACACACTACCCACTGCTGTCTACACACTACCCACTGCTGTCTACACACTACACACTGCTGTCTACACACTACATACTGCTGTCTGCACACTACACACTGCTGTCTACACACTACCCACTGCTGTCTACACACTACCCACTGCTGTCTACACACTACATACTGCTGTCTGCACACCACACACTGCTGTCTGCACACTACCCACTGCTGTCTACACACTACATACTGCTGTCTGCACACTACCCACTGCTGTCTGCACACTACCCACTGCTGTCTGCACACTACCCACTGCTGTCTGCACACTACCCACTCATGTCTACACACTACCCACTG